CTATTCTATTCTATTCTATTCTATTCTTACTCCTACTCTTACTCTTACTCTTATTCTCTAATTCTAATTCTAATTCTATTCTATTCTATTCTATTCTATTCTATTCTATTCTATTCTATTCTATTCTATTCTATTCTATTGAATACTTGTAGCTCAGGCTCTATCTGTGTACCCTTGGTGCTCTCTGTGCAACCCATTCTCTTCTTTAGCTTCTATCTCAACTGGGCCACAAATTTATTCTACTCTACTCTACTCTACTCTACTCTACTCTACTCTACTCTACTCTACATTGATCTTCAGTGTTAGAAGATTTTGCAATGAAATTCTCTGTTTGGCATTTCTGTATAGTAGACAGGTAGTCCTTGACTTATGACTGCAATGGGAACCAGAATTTCCCTTGCTAAGCAAGGTGGTTGTTACGAGAGTCGTGCCCAATGTTGTAACTGTTTTGCCACGCTTGTTAAGGTAATCACTGCAGTCATTAAGTCAACTACATAGTCGTTAAGCAAATCTGGTTTCCCTCATTGTGCTGGGAAAGAGCGTGTGCGTATACACACACACACAGACACACACACACACACACACACACACACACACACACACACACATATATATCTTTTTGTTGATTATTCCCTTAGTTATAAATTCCTCTAGAGTGGGGCTAACACAGAATTATATTCCCATTACAGTGAAAATGATTGAACAAGATTTAGCCAGATCCATCACAAAGAATAATGGGAAATGGCAGAGGATATTTCTATTCCCTGAGTTATCAGGCATTTTTAATCATCCTTCCTTAATTAGAGTATCAAAAGGTCATTGAACATGAGCCTCTCAAGATAATATTTTGGAACAGCAGATTGTTTTGAAGGGCTGCATCCAGTGATTCATTTATACTGAACGCAGGCCCAACGCCATTCGTGCGCATCATTGCGGCTTGATAATGCGAAGATAATGGATTAGCCTTTGCATTAACTTGCAAATGATAGAAAATGAGTGTTTGCTTGCACACTCCGCAAAAACCATACAGCTGAAAAACAAGCATAGGAGAGAAAATATCTCCTGCATAGTCTGGAGATGTGGTCACACACAACCATCTCTGTGAGTCACTGGCAGTAAAAAAAAAAAAAAAAAAAATCAATTATCTCTATTACCAAAGGAAGAGGGGAGGGTGGTGGAAATTTTCTGTTTTTCTCATGGACCTGTCAGAAGGATAATTAGGGGTTCCAACTCAGGGGTGGGGTTGCACGAGAATAAACAGAAATGAGATCCTGATAGCTGTGAGGCGAGAAGAAATCGCAAAGCGATTGCCTTTAGGGGCAGCCACAGTGAAACGGAGTAAAGCAACACAGTGAAAAACAAGATCGTCCTTGACTTAATGACCACAATTGAGCCCCAAATATATGTGGTTCAGCAAGGTATTTGTTAACTGAGTTTTGCTCCATTTTACAGCTTGCCTTGCCGCGGTTGCTAAGCGAATCCCTGTCGTCGTTAAATTAGTAACGCGATTGTTGAGTGACTCTGGCTTCCCCCATTGATTTAGCTAGACAGAAGGTCACAAAAGGGGATCGTGTGATCCTTGGGCACTGCAACCGTCGTAAGTGTGAGTCGGTTTGTCAGACAACGGGACGTAAATCCCATGGCCGTGGCGATTCATAAGTGTGAAAAGTGGTCCTGTCACTTTTTTTGTTTGTGCAGTTATAACTTCCAAAGGTCACTAAATGAAGTGTTGTAAGTCGAGGACTACCCCTCCCCCGGGCCCCGTTTTGGGCCTAAAAAGCCTCCCTGGAGCCTTAGGAGAGACAAAATGGGGCATGGGGGGTGTTCTGCACCCCTGACCCCCTGCTCCCTGTTTTGGGCCTAGGAAACCTCCCTGTACTTACCTGATAGCTAGAACCAGGTACGTGGGGACTCCTGGGCGTGGTGGGGCGGGGCCAGCTGGTCTTCGGAACTACCGACTCGGCGAACTGGATGTAAAATTAACAGCCAGATTGCCCAAACCATTCCGAACCGGATGAATACCACCCCTGGAATTAGGTCTGGATAACTTATTTGAGGTTTTGAGGAAGTTTGAGCAAAAGAATTTCCCCGTTTGTTATTTTTTACTTGATTAATTTACTTTCAGCTTTTCTGTCAATTATCCAGCAGAGACGCTGATTCTCAGTCCATTGTGGATTCTGTTCATGTTTTAAGGGAAGATGGAAACAGTATAAAGCAGTGGTGGATAACCTTTTTGGACTCCTGTGCCAAAAATTGTGTGCGCATGCTCATGCTCACGTGCCAGCACCCAGAAGGCAATGTGCGCCCCCTATGTCCCCTATGCATGCGTGCACAATCCCCACCCCACCCCCGCCATCCCCTTACCTGCATTGTGCCTCACAGCAGATTTTCGGCCAGGCTTTTCAGGCTGAAAACTAGGTCCGTTTTGTCACTTCTGGTAAAACAGGAAGTGACAAAACGGGCCTAGTTTTCATCCTGAAAAGCCTGCAGAAGCCTTCCTCAAACCTCTGGGAGTCCGGAAAAGGCCTCAAACCAGCAGAAAATCAGCTGTGAGGTGCGTGCATGCTCAGTGAGGTAAGTTTGCTTGCAGCTCACGTGCCGGCACAAATGGTTCTGCGTGCCACCTGTGGCACACGTGCCATAGGTTCGCCATCACGGGTATAAAAGATATTTTGATATAAAATTTCTCACAGACCCTTTATGTGAAATATGCTACAAAATACACTCATGCTGCCCTACAAAACCAGGGGCAATCCTTAGGCCGGACATGAAGCCACCTACAATTTAGGAGTAGCATATTACAAGCAGACACAAATGGATTTTTCTGCTAATGCTAGAAAACACGGGGTTTTTTGCACACCTCTGTAATGGCAGGAGTATATCTGTGGTTCACCAGCTTTTGCTTTTGCAATTGGACAGGTTAATTTGTCACCGTGATTCTGGGAGTCTACCAAAAAGGTAACCGTAATTCATGAGAAATTTCCTGACAGTTAGAACAATTGATCAGTGAAACAACTTGCCTCCAGAAGTTGTGGATGCTCCAACACTGGAAGTTTTTAAGAAGAATTTGGACAACCATTTGTCTGAAAGTGGTTTCCTGACTTGGACTGGAAGAGTTCCAAAGCCCCTTCCCTTCCAATGCTGTTATTCTGCTATTCTGGTGGTTTTCTTGCAGACATTTCATTACTCAACTAGGTATCTTCCTCCTTCTCCTCCTTATCATTATCATCGTCATCATCAATGCAATGATGACGATACCTAGTTGGAT